CCACATGGCAGCTCATTGCAGTCTGTAACTCCAATTCTAGAAAATCTGACACCCTCTTCTGGTTCTGAAGACACAAGCATGCTCATGGTACACAGACATACATGAAGGCAAAACACCCATAAAATAAGAATAAATCAATCTTTGAAAAGAAATTTTACCATAAATTATTTTTAATTGAAAATAATTCATTATATAATATATTCTGATCACTCTTTGCCCTCCCTCAACTCCTCCCAGATCCTCCACACCCTTTCTCTCTTTCTCTCTCTCTTTAGAAAACAAACAGGCAAAGAAAAAAAAATAAAAAGGGACAAAGAAGCCGGGTGGTGGTGGCACATGACTTTAATCCCAGCACTTGGGAGGCAGAGGCAGGTGGATCTCTGTGAGTTCAAGGCCAGCCTGGGCTACAAAGCAAGTTCCAGGAAAAGACACAAAGCAACACAGAAAAACCCTGTCTCGAAAAGAACCAAAGAGAGAGAGAGAGAGAGAGAGAGAGAGAGAGAGAGAGAGAGAAACAAGAAACACACAACACAAAACAAAATCCATAAAAAACACACTTAGAGACCATACTATACAAGCAAAAGGCCAGTGAAACAAAACAAAAATGATCAAATAAATCAGAGGAGAGAAAAACTCTGCAAAACTACCATTGAGGTTTTTTTTTGTGCTGGCCATTTGCTGCAGGACATAGGACCCACTCCTAGTGTGGGTAATATGCCCAGTGAGAAGCCATTGGAGAAAACTAGTTTTTCACTTGCAAATGCCAGTCAGTTGGAGAGAGCTTCTGGGCTAGGGATGGGGGCTTGTGTCCACTGCGACTCTCACTTCTAAGACCCATGCAGACCCTGCGCATGCTGCCACAGTCTCTGTGAGTTCATATGTGAATCAGTCTTGGAAAAAAAAAATTTTTTTTAAAGAAAAAGAGGGAAAGATATAAAAATCAGAATGAGATGGTTGTGGGGAGATAAAGAATAATGGGAATCGGTCATAGTTATGGAAATGGTTTTAAAAATAAGCGTGGATAAAAAAATCTAAATGTGCACACTTGTACACACGTACACATAAAGCTGGACATGACGGTACATGTCTGTAATCCCCGTGCTCCTGTGGTGAAGTGGGAGGCGGAGACTGGGGAATGCCTGGAGGCCAGAGAGCCAGTTACCTTACACAGACTAGTATAAACAACGAGA